CAGTGACGTCATCGCGCCGCGAAGTGGCATTGCCGCGCGGCGATTGGGTGAGCCCGGAGCTAAAGTGTTTAGACAGTAAAAAGACAAGACTCGGACGACCACAACCACCGCTGCGGCCGCATGAAGCCAGCTAAAGGCTCAGTCGAACTTTTCGACCAGCTGTTATAGAACCATCGGGTAAGGAAACGCTTTAAAAGCCTGTTTGAAGCCGTCGTTGGGTGAGACTGGCCGCAGCAGCTTCCGCCCTGCGCGAAGTTTCTTTTGTCCTCCTTAGACAACAACAACAACACAACACTACGGAGGCAGCGCTCCGAGCAGGCACGGGGGCTTTTCGGCTGGTTTGCTGCTTGATGACAGCAACTGTTAAAACACGTCAAATGTTATAAAGTGTCGGAGAGGGAAAGTGGATTGTGTTGTTGGGGAGGAATACCTTTGGACCGGTCAGACAGCTTCCGCTGATAGGCGCTGGGTGTGTTAGCTCCTCTCAGACCCACACTCTGTAGTCATCACGGATACATATCAAACACTTAGACAACGTAAATGTGGGTTTCCTCCTCACTCTTTTCTTTACATGCCTTTGAATTTCCATGTTTTCCTCATTTTGCTACATATTTATTCCTCTGTCAACTTTTCTCACTCTTTTCTTCCTCCTGCATCTACGTGCTTCATTAGCGAAGCACGGATCCTGGTTTTCAGCGCCAATACCAATTTCTGATTGATGGGATCTGACCTGATTAGATCTATAATGGGCCGATATCCACCACTCTCTAATAAATCGACAGACAGACACACCTGTTCAGTAGAGCTGATTTAAAGTCAGGCGGGTCCACGGGCAGCACGGCGTTAGCGCCAAATTTTATTTATGTTCCTGAATGCTCTAAAACATGTTTGTCAACTGATACCTTTTATTTATCTGTTTGATGTTGAATTCTTTATAAAAAATTATTAATTTTGTTTCTGTAAATTGCAATAAATTAAGATTCAACAGTTACGTTTTCTTAAATGGATATAGGATCGATGGGACTAATCAGCTATCGGCTGATCATCACCTCTTCATATTGGTATCGGCACCAGAAAAGCTCACATTGGTCCAACTCTAATAAAAATTCATCCTAATTTTTATTTTAATAATGATTACCTTCAAAATTAGGGCTGCACAATATATCGTAAATATATCGTTATTGTGATATCAGCATGCACAATGTGCATATCGCAAAGATCAGATAAATATCGTCAGCTCAAATGTTTGCTACACATGATGCATGCTGTCAGTCAAACAGAAGCCTGATGTTTTTTTAACACAGCAAAGAGAACACTTCACCCATTTGGCCAACTGGATGGGTTCTCATAGGTCAGAGTCCCGCCCCCGAGGCGGACTGCACCTAATTTTGATGGCTAGCAAACACCTGAGTTAGCTTAGTTCTGCTCTTTCTACTGATTCTGCTTTTCCCGGGATCCACCGATTGCCTTTTCTTATTCATTTTCTTTTCCCTTTCCTCCCATCTTTTGCTTTTCTCATCTTTATGACTTTTTTATGTCTTTGTTTTTGATTATTTTTGTTCCTGAGTTAAGTTTTTATTTATCGCAAGTGATATCGTCATCGCAATATTAATCATTGTCATCGAATATCGCAGGTTTTCCTAATATCGTGCAGCCTCATTCAAAATGATGATTCTGGAAGTAAAAACTTCCCCGTGGGATTTCCGTCTAGCATGAATTAGCGCTTGGCGATGGCTAATCTACAGATCTGCACAAATCAAGCTGGTATTTAGCATATTTAGCCTTAACGGGTACAGATCCTGTAAAATGATGATAGCCTATAAGGTTAAAGTGATTCTCCTTGAGTCATGCGAAGCACGTCATTTCTCCTCCAGATGTTACGATGGCTGCCCACTTCACGATCTCAGACAGTGACTCGGAGCCGTCGGAAGAGGTGGAGGAGGGAGAGAAGAAGCAGCCGTCAGCGGGTCAAGAGGAGAGCGTTCGCCCACACCTCAACCTGCCTGAGCTCAGGCTCCCGTGTAAGCAAACACAAGGGATTAGCGGAGCGAGGCTCCACAGTATTATTACTGCAAGCATGTTTCTGTTCTTCAAACAAATACACTAAGGACATCACTAGAGATTCAGGCAAGGTTTTCCCTCTGTGTGCAGTAAGTAAATAAAATAAATGTCTTGTGTTACAAAGTGAAACCGGTTCTTTGATTGGTGCGTGGACACGTTGTCTTTCCGTGTTTTCACCATCCATTCTCTCGTGCAGTGAATGGTCGGATCAGGCTCAACTCGGAGTCCCACGTTTCCAACGTCTCCAGAGATGAGGATCTCCTGGCCAGGGTGGCGGAGGAGGAGCCTGGGACCCCTACAGAGGGGTTCCCATTCAGAGGGAGATCAAAGTCTGCTCCTCCAGCCCTGTGGGCCGCCAAGAAGTACGGCCGGCAGCTCCGAAGGATGAGCGACGAGTTCGACAGCCTGCTGGACAAAGGGGTGAGGAGACGCCTCTGGGCTGTAGCTCTAGGCGAGTCCTTGTTGGGACAGAGGAACTGGTTTGGGTAAATGGTTAACTGCCTAGAGGACAGATGAGCTCATGTCCGGTCTAAACCAGCCGAGAACAAAGTGTGTGTCATCGTCGAAACCTTTACACCACCATTAATGAAGATAACCCTTTACTGCTCCCTACACGGGGAACTTCCCACCCCGCCGCAGCAACAGGACTATAAAAACAACAAGGATTAACAATAAAACACAAGTTAGTTATATAAGTGTACAGATTGAGGATGTTAAGGCGTCCTGTTTCCTCGGGTTTTCTGGGGGCTTAAAGCTGAAATCTGGAGTTTTGTGTCAGAAGGCACCATCTAGAGGTGGAAAAACGTATTGCATCATCAGCCGGTCTTCCTGCTTCCTTAATTATGGTTAAAACCAACGCCTCTCGTCCGTGAACGCGCACCTCTGGTTGTCCAACAGAGCTAAACTACGGTGTTTTACAGCTATTATTCTTACACGATGCTGTTTATTCGTATGTATGAGGGCTTTGGGGGGACCTTAGCAAAATAAATGATGTATTCTCCGAGCTCCGTTGTCGATTTGCCATGATGTGTTGTTTCTCCGGTGATTCTGCACGAACGCTGAGCTGGAGTGGCACTACAGCGCATGTGCCTCGACTTATAGAAGGAGCGGGGCAGGAACCAAACGTGCAGCAGCAGGCGAGATTGACCACAATGATTAGTACTGTCAATAGTATTGTACTTGGCAAAGTAGATAAAGAAGAAATACGAAACACTGTAAAAAACTGTGGAAACAAACGATCAACCGATTATCAGGATCTGGACATGATAACTGTTAAAACCATCATGGAATCCGTCATTGAACCATTCACTTACATTTGTAATCTATCACTTTCTACTGGAAATTTTCCTGACGCAATGAAAACAGCAAAAGTCATTCCTTTGTGTAAGAGTGGTGATAAACGTAGTTTCAATAATTACAGGCCGGTGTCACTGCTTCCACAGTTTTCTAAAATATTGGAAAAAGTATTTGTATCAAGGTTGAATAAATTCATCGAAAAAAATATTTTAAACAATAAACAATGAGTTTAGAACTAAACATTCCACAGCAATGGCAATAATGGAATTAGTGGGTAAAATATCAACAGCAGTTGACAATAAAAACGACTTTGTTAATGTTTTCATTGATTTGAAAAAAGCTTTTGACGTCATTGATCACTCAAGGTTACTTCGAAAATTAAGTCCGTATGGATTAAGAGGCGTGTCTCATCAGTGGGTTAAAACTTATTTAGAAAAAAGGAAACAGTTTGTTCAGATAGAGGACCATAAATCAAAACTATGTGAAATTAATTGTGGAGTGCCACAAGGGTCGGTCCTCGAACCAAAACAGTTCATTTTGTTTAACGACTTGGTAAATGCATCTAAGACACTCGGTACCATTCTATTTGCAGATGATACAACACTGTTTTATTCAGGATCAAATATTGAGGAGGTGGCTAAAGTGATAAATGATGAACTGATTAAAATTAAAAACCGGTTTGATACAAATAGATTGACACTGAATCTTAATAAAACTAATTTTATTCTGTTTAATGATAAAAAGAACAGTGATGTGTCATTGGAAATAGATGGGATTGAAATTCAAAGAGTAAAAGAAACTAAATTTCTTGGAGTTCTTATTGAAGACTTGTCATGGAAATCCCGTATTAGTTACATAAAAGGTAAAATTGCCAAATCCTTAGGAGTATTACATAGAGTCAAGTTTTTACTGACTAATTCTGGTTTGTTGGCATTGTACAGTTCACTGATTGTTCCATACTCGATTTATTGTGTAGAAATCTGGGGAGCGACATACAAAAACTATACACAACCCTTATTTATTTTACAGAAAAGAGCTCCGAGAATCATCAATTATAGTGGCTGTAGAGATCCATCGAACCCGTTGTTTATTAACCGACCTGCAGAGCAAAACCTGTTTCTACTGCTACAGTGGGTCTAGATGTCTAGGCTAGGCTAAGGCTGTCACTTTGATGGATTTCTTAAAAATAAATCAGACATTATTCCTGAAAGGTGGAGACCTCCTGAATGCAACCTTAATTGATGTAGTTTATGAAAACTTTCTGCATCTGTTCCAGGAGATGAGGAAGGTGAGAAGTGCCGGGTCAACCAAACCCATGCACCACTCCAGGAGCTGGTGGAACTACCTCTTCAGTCACCAGGAGAGCGACGGAGAGAACAGCCACCATGACAACCCCACGCAGCGCACCGAGTAGGATATCTGAGCCCGGCCGGGTCCGACGGACAGAGACGGGGAGCTACCGAACAATGTGAGGGAAGGAAGATGGTTCTGAACACGGGGACTTGTTCAATGAGACACAAACTCAGTGAGTCCCACCTTAGAGTTTGTCTTTATGTCACTGAGATCTACTTTTTGTGTTTATGATGTAGAAATGTTGTGCTGTCTGAATCCCACCAGTTAGATCAAAGATCTTAGCGAACGGAAAAAGTGACCATTTCAGATGAAAGCAGAGATAAACGTACTGAGATGTAAACGCAACGCCTTGGCCTTCCACGTCTGATTAACAAGCTGCTTTTTCCTGCAAACGTTTTCTCTCGTCTCGACAATCGCTGCAATTTATTGTCAAAAATCTGCAGAAGCGGCTTGAAAAACCTTGAGAAATTGAAGAATTTGGAGGCGTTCCTGTTTGTCTGCTTTTACAAACCCTTTCCGCAGTCAGCCGATCACACGTGACTATCAGAAAACCGCTTTAACACTCTTGTAGTTGGACAATCTGAGGACGCGCATCTCTAGTGAAACTTCAGGGTCAGATTAAAAGAGAAGAGCACAAGCGAGTCCTTTAAAGCCTCGGACTAGCAAAAATGAAATCTTTTATGTGTACATATGTTGTAAATATTTGATGAAATTGTCTGGCTGGGGTTTATAAATAAGGGGATTTAATCAGAAGTTTATCGACGCGGTTACGGCGGAGCAATAGGCTGTGTACAATCTGTGGCTGTTGTCATTAAATGTCACGTATTTAAAGCACAGGTTTGATGCTTTTAAGAGTCTGTTTTTATATCAAAGAGTTTGTTTAAATGCAGTTTGTTCCCTTTTGTTACGCTGAAGCTGGAGGAGCGCCGATCTGACCACGAAGCACACAAACCACGATTAAACACCTATGGTGACTGTTTTTATACAGCTTGGTATAATAAAAAAAAAAGCTTTTGTGACTTTTATCAATGTGTGATTATTGAAAATGAGTTTGTCTTTATCTGTCAGCTGAGAAGGACGTTTTATTTCATTAGTGTGACAACTCCAGACAATCTGAACGGTGCCCCTTTTCTAAGACTTGTTGGTGTTTCACGTCTCTTTCACTAAAACTACTGTTAGTGTCGGATTTCTTAAGTAATAGTTTTTTTTTTACTTGGCGTCTCACTATCACCTAAATAAACCTGTCGTTTCAGTGTAAATGTTTGAAACTGCCTTTTGAAGCATTTTGTGACCTCTGACCTGACGCCGAACATCCAGCCTCGCCGTTTTACCTGATCGCCGCCTTAACCTGTACCGTTCACACGTTGCGCTCCAGAGAAGCTCAGTATTTATTAGGGATGTGAATCTTAGAGCAACTCATGATTTGATTTGATTCTGATTCTTGGGGTGCCGATTCGATTCAGAATCGATTCTCGATTCTCAATTCA